AGTGTTTTAATTGATATAAACGTTGTCGTATCAGTTAAAACAAATATGTTAAAGAATCAAGAACGTATTAATGGATTAAAAGAAGTTTTAACAGATTAAAACTGCACTTGTAACAGATTAAAAGAATCTTTTAACAGATTAATTAATACAGCTGTTTTGAAAATCTTCTATAAAAACAGAGTTGCTTGAACTTTTTACACATAAGTTTTTACACATCCTTGAGCAATCAATCAAGCAAACTTTAGCACTCTTTTCAAGAAAGATTCGCGTCAGTTTTTGAGAAGTTCTTTGAAAATCTTTCTTGAGGCAACTTGATTTCATTTGAAGAAGAAACACTTACAGCAGAATTGCATACACTGGTTTGAGCATTCTAGTTTCTTCTTTTTCATTTCTTTACATTCTTTTTGTATTGTTTGGTGCCTGGAATTTGGGCACTGGTTTCTCTGCAGCTGGAATTTGGTTGTAGAGGTTATCAAGAACTGGAATTTGGTTCTTGGTGAGAGGTTGAGTGCAGGAACTGGAATTTGGTTCTTGTGGTAGATTAAGTGTAAGATTGTAAATCTGTAAAACATTTGATCTAGTGGAACCCAGCTGGAATTTGGCTGGAGACTGGACGTAGCCCTGGTATTGGCATTCTCGGGTTGTATTTCGCTTGAGCGACATTGGACTCGCTCGAGCGACATTGGCACTTTTAAGAGCGGTTAATATTTTAACCGCTCTTAAACGTGAGCATATAATAGCGGTTCCAGTGGAACCGCTATCATATACAACAAGATTTTGACTCTGATCGATCAGATTTTCAAAATGATCGATCATATTTGCTAATTTTTTCAAAGAATTAATTATAATCGATTAGTTTTGTAAATTATTGATTAGAATTGATTAGTTTTCAAATAATAGATTAGAATTGATTAATTTCTAAAATATATATTCAAAAATTATAATTAAAAATATAGATTATTTAAGAATATTAACTATTGTAAAGATAAAGTTGAACATGGGAGGAGATGAGGATGATAATATAATGATAGAAGTTACAAAAATGTAGAATTGAGAAGTTTGAAACAAAAAAAACTAAGCAAATAGAGATTTGATTACACTTTTAATAAATTGAAGATAATACTAGTCTTGATTTTTATTTTTAACTATTTATTTTAATTATTTAAAACAGAGAAACTATAATTTGACTTTCTAAATACTCTGTTAAGGTTCCAACATAAAACCAATTGGCAATATGTGGAGTAGCCTAACATGTATTTAAACCATACCAAATGATATGAGGTAGGCGATGTGGGACTTTCAACACACCCCCTCCAACAAAGCCTGCTAGGACCAGGCAAAGGGTACTTTTGACCCAACTAAAGGGCAACTTTTGGCCCATGACAATAATCGGAAAGATGTTAGGTTTTGGCTCGATACCATGTTAAGGTTCCAACATAAAACCAATTGGCAATATGTGGAGTAGCCTAACATGTATTTAAACCATACCAAATGATGAGGTAGGCGATGTGGGACTTTCAACATACTCAATTTAAAGAATTAAATTCATTATTATTTAATCTTTTAATTTTAGTATTAAAAATTTAAATTATATTTTATTAAATTAAAATAAATACAATATAATTTTCTACTTTGAGAATGAACAATATAATTAAACTCAAAATTGAGAATATTATAATACATTTTTGAACTCTTTTGGATTATTTTTGTTTCCTAATTTTTGATAAAGTTAATTATAATATTTAAAAGTATTTAACATTTTGAATTCTGAAAGGTTTTCTCTAATAGCAAATTTAAAAACATAATATTCAAGAAAATAGTTAATGTAAGTTGTGATTATGATCGATCATAATATGAAATGATCGATCATAGTTGAGAGGATTAGATAGCGGTTCCACCTTAACCACTATCTAAAGTGCATGTTAGATAGCGGTTAAGGTTTAACCGCTATTAGAAGTGTCCATTTAAGAGCGGTTCCAGTGGAACCGCTATCATATACAACCATATTTTAAGATTGTGAAGTCTCGAGTGTAATTTCGCTTGAGCGACACTGGTCTCGCTCGAGCGACGCCACATGAACAAAATTGGCATTCTCGGGTTGATTTTCGCTTGAGCGACAGTGTCTCGCTCGAGCGAAATCCACATTTTTTGGTTATGATCGATTACATTTTCAAATGATCGATCATATTTGAATATATATAATAGCGGTTAAGATTTAACTGCTATTAGACGTGCTATCTAATAGCGGTTAAGATTTAACCGCTATTAGAAGTGCTATTATAATAGCGGTTATGGTTTAACCGCTATTATATACAACCACATTTTTCAATTCCCTGTCTCGCGCCACTTATCCCCAAATAACCCTAACTCTCGCGCCTCACTCACCCATTCCTCTTAACCTTGGCCAGTATCTCCTCCTCACTCCCGGCGAGCCCTAGCCCCCTCACTGCTCCCCCCAAGTCAACCCTCACCCTAATCCAACCTCCACCCCAGTCATCACCACCGCCTCCCTGGCCACCATCGTGGCCATCCCTAAATCTCAACCTAACCTCCACCATCAAGGTCTTTCCACGCCTCAGTTGCCCCAATCGTGCCATTGAGTTCCCCGCGAACTAGAGGTGAGTCAGAGGGGTCGCGAGTCAAGCGCTTTGGTTCACATTTTGCTGCTATGTTCTATTTCTTTTATGCCTTTTTACTGTGGATTGTTCTCCTTGGTTAAGGATGAATTGTGTGTGGGTCTGGTTTAAACTGGTTAGTTGTGGACAGTCTAAAAACCTTGATTGCATACCATTTTTTAAAACCTTGGTTATAGAATGCAGAAGGTGTCTTATGTCCTGTTAATGATTTGAACTTGTGCTCTGACAAACAGATTGAGAAAATGGAGAATTTCTTGAAGGAACCTAAGGGAGGATCATTGGACAGAGAATTCTATCAAAAACTTGCTGGAAGTTTCAAGTGAGTTCTGCTTTTCACTGGTTGTTAGGTTATTTTCCAATAATAGAAGAAGTATTGTCATTGAGGAGTGTTGGAATGTGATGTTTGTGCGATCGTTCCTCGGGTCGTGCTTGGGAAGCCTGTTATAAAATGGACGAGAGGTTAATGTTCTTTCTCACTAACTCATGTATTTTATTTCAGTGGGTTCCTGTGCGGCATCCTTCAAATATTGCTTGTTTTCCTTTTCCTATATTCTTAGATGGTTGTGCCTTTTTTTATGTAGTTTTTAATTAATCCTTTATTTTGGAGAAATTCTAGATTGAAAGTTGGTTTCGGGCTAGGCTCCAAGACTTAGCACTAGTCCCTAACAGTGAGTTGATGGTTCCTAAATGTAAGGAAGGTGAGTCTTCCGGTGGACCTTATGGTTCTTAGCATAGTAAGTTATTATGTTGTCTTCAAGTATTCAAATGGTCAACATTAGATTTATTTAATATAATTGCGGTGTTTTTCATTGCTGCTTGAGTTATGGTAGGTTGCCTATTTTATTTTATGTCTCTCGTGTCTATGCTTGTCTCGTCATCACATATTCAAATATTCAACATTGAATTATTTAATATAATTGCGAGTGTCTACCATTGTTGCTTAAGTGATGACTTTTACGTTAAGCTGTTTTATGTTATTAGGAACATGTTTGGTAGAAGATAATATGATATGAAGATGAGGAATAACTTAGCGTAATGAAGGAACATGAAAGTGATAATAACATTCCCACCATAAAATTTTTTTCACTTTCTATTTTCCTTCTATTTTTGTATAGCTAGTCTGCTACGGTTGTATTTATTGATATATTTGAGGAAACTTCTAATAAAATTAGTTATCTTGTGAGATTGTACCTGGACTGATTGTTTTACGGAAGTTATGCGAGATCCATCGAGTTGGAATTTGAAGCAAGATCATCAAAAGATGGAGCATGGTGAGAACATGCAGATTATTTCGGTTAGCTTAAATTTTCCTAGCCATCACTGTTCATGAAGTATTTTAAATTTTAATGTATCCGAATCAAAAGGTTTCCTTATATACCTTTCCCAAGCATTCAAGAAAAATTCATGCAAACTTCTCCACCTTTTTGGAGGTCCTCTAACTGCTGATCCCTTCGTCATATATCTCGTGTTCCCTTGACATGTATTCCATGTTGGTATAACTGTTGCTTGAAGTCTTCAATTGTGGAATAAACCTCTAGTTCTGGTTCATGATCAAGACTCATATCCCAGTGATAGTGGAATGGAAAAAGTAATTTAAATATGGATGCACCAATATCTATTCAGGTCATCTTATTATTAATTTATTATTGTTTTTACCAATTGGTCCACATTTCATGGATGAGAATGCATCTTAACTACTAACTACTAAGCATTCATTATGTAATACAATTGTGTCCAATTGGAGAAAAAAAGTTGTCTAATGAACTTGATATAATTAAAAATGTAAATAAATAAAAATAATTAACTTTGTTATTAATTTAGCGACCGATATAGTGACCAAATTTTTGGTCGTTACAAATTTATTATAATATACAATTCAAATTTAGCGACCGATTTAAATTATTATTTAAATAATTCAATTAATATATTAGCGACCGATTATATCCAGTCGCTATTATTTTTAACTTTGTCTCCAATTTAGCGACCGATTTAGCGACCGATTTTAATTATTATTTAAATAATTATATTAATATATTAGTGACCGAATATATTGGTCGCTATTTTTTAAAACTTTACCACGGATTTAGCGACCGATTTAGTGACCACTTAATTCGGTCGCTATTTTGGTCTCCAATGAATAAGTGACCAAATTATTTAGCGACCACTTTAGCGACCACCAGATCGGTCGCTATTTAGCGACCGAAATGTAAATCGGTCGCTAACAACTTAGCGACTTGCCCTTTTGCGACCAACCATTTCGGTCGCTAATTTCGGTCGCTAACAGAATAGCGACCGAATTTTGGCCATTAGCGACCGATTTTTTCGGTCGCTAAAAGCGATTTTTCTTGTAGTGTGAAAATTTAGGAGTTCTTTAACTTGGAGGCATTGTTTGAAGTAAGAGAATTTAGTTATTCTTCAATTTCATAGTACTCTAGGCTAGAAAATATGGATTATGAAGGTGACTTGATCACATTATTTAAGTATCAGTAATTTGGATTGTGTGATTATGTATGTATTGATTGGTGATGGATTGTATTGAATGTGAGTGTACAATTGATTTATATGAGATTGAAAAATATAGTCCTTTGTATAAATGTATTGCTCTTAGATTGAAATTAGTGAATGAATTTATGATATGGAGGGTAAGGTTTATAATTAGTTTGGTTTCGAACATTAGAAATAAGGTTTTGAGCAAATTATGTAGTCTGGTACTGTCACAAACCGCCCAATGGATTTAAATTCGCTCAGTAAATTTAAGATAGTGTTGAAAACACTTGAAATTTGTTCAATGCTTTCAGATTTTCCTAACAGCTTTCAAAAAATCATAAAAAATAGTTTTGAACTCCAAATTCAATGTTTTACATATGAAAATCGAAGCCCTGAAAATAAGGAATCTAATAAAATAAAAATTAGTTAAAAAGAATGTCTACAAAAAAAGTTATGTTTGAAATAATATATCGAGTTGAGTACCCTTGTGTTATGCACTTTGGGTACCCTTGTGTTATGAACTTTGGGAAGTTGCGGTGTGACAAGTGCATATCTCTGATGTCTATTTCAATTTCTAGTCTTCCGAAAGTCGTCTAGTGTCTTGTATAAGCGTGTGATGTGATATGTGAAAACTTGAAGTTGCATTATGTTGTTTTATCTCACATTTGAATCTTGCATACTTAAATTGAATTACTAACTTATCATGTGTGTTTTGTATATGTTTTTAATTGTGATGATCATATATTTACACGGGAACAAATTTTATAGGTGATAGACCTCAGTAGAAGTAGGTTTGAAGCTAAGAGTAGTATAGATTTATATTTTGTTTACTTTTGAGGTGATAAATATGTATGTATATATTTTCCTATATAGAGGGAATTTATATTTTGAATTACTCTATACATCTTAATTTTATATACGGTATGTATAGTTTTGGGACTGTTATAAGAATGATATTTGTTTCTTTCGATTTCCAAATACTAATGTCATTCGTCGATCCTTAAACATTTAGTTTAGGTGTTTAACAAGGTAAGAATCTAGTATAAACAATGGAATACCTAATATTTTGAGCTCCAAAATATGGCAAGATGGAAAAGAAAAAGTTAAAGGAATGAATGTTGTGAAAAATAAATAAAGGTAAAAGTTACATGATGTTTTGATTTATGAATATTGAATGTAGTATATTTTCTTGTTTAAATGTGATAAAATAATACAATAAAAAAATATACATGAATCAAGGAAAAACCTAAATACTATTTTCAATGAACATTGCATTGATAAGTTGTTTAAGACTTAATTCTTACTTTTAAAGAGGTAAGAAAAGGAAATTTTGTGTTGGAAAACAATAAACCTAAGATTCTAATAAAAAAGCATTTAATCTAAGTAATTGTTGAAAACAATAACATATTGTGTACTGAAATAAAACAATTTAAACAACAGGAACAGGAAGCAAAAATAGTAATTGTATGGAAAAATTAGAAGAAACTATGAAATGATATGATTCATGTCAACTTGCTCATTTCATTGTCATTTATTTTTAAACCTATATATAACCACAAAATAGATAATAGAGATTTTAAATATTTAGAACCTAATTGATTAAATTTATTCATCGCATTTACTTGACTTAAAATTATTATTCAATTTTTAAAAAAACAATCATAAAAATCTATAAACTAATTTGTGATAGAATTGAAGAAATTCAATTGATTAATCTCTTTTACATATATTGTAATGAATTATAACCGATTAGAATAATAAATAATCAATTATAAATCATAGAAATCAAGCATTTGATTGGAAAATCAATCTTACAAACTTAAAAACACATGAAAAATAAATTGAAAAAAATAATAGAAGAAAAGCAATTAAAATGTAGAAAAACGGTAAAGAAAATCTAAATTACGAAAAGTTAATAAAAAAAGTAAAGAAAATAATACAAAATTGATCTAAAATATGAACTCCAGGTAGAATTCATGCAACTGAGAACATTGTAAACTCTACTTTAAGTAGAACATGAGATAAAACTAACAAAAAAATGAATTTTAGATCTGCCAATGTAAAAGTGATTGTACCTTATGTTTTTAGCTTTCCTAAAAGTTTATTTTATACAACAATAAACTTAATGCACAATGTCTATATAAAACCTAAAATAAATCAATTAGATCGATTATAGCTTGATAAAATAATTTTGAAAAAGTGGATTATGCAACTTTGGATTGAGCGGAGTTCCGTCTCCCTAAGCGAATTGGAAATCAAGAATTAATTCTATGTGAAAGCTCCCTAAACAAAATAATTTTTTCGCCGAACAAATCTCTTAAATCAATTTTTTATTTATTTATCATTCCTATATTAATGTATAAATAATTAATTAAAATATATTTTTTTATCAATAAATTAGATACATAATTATTTAATTATATTTTATCAAAATTATATTAAAAATAAATAATTAAATAAAAGTATTGATAAAATGTATTTATTAAATATTAATAATTATGTCATGATTTATATATAATGAAATATTATTATAAATATTTACATGAGTTATTGTATCAGCATGTATTCACCAAGTCTTTCGTATGTTTAGTTTAAATTAAAATATTTAAGATTATATAAAATATACAGTAAAAACTTCAATATTTTAATATTATATTTACAATATGTGGTGTATTTTAGATTTAGTTTACACGATATAATAATATATCATCAAGAATTGTAATATACCTTTGTACTCATGATTTTATTTTATATTTACTTTTTAATTTAATTTCATATTATATATATAATTTTATTTTATATTAAGTTTTTAATTTAATTTCACATTATATATATATATATATATATATATATATATATATATACTACAGAAATTTATTACTATCAATGAAAATTTACTGAAGAATATTATTTCGTTGATAAATCTGTAATTATTGACAGAAATTTATTAATAGATATTATTATATAGGTAAATTTATATTACGGATAGAAATTTTTTATTATGAATAGTTAATAAATTTATATTACCGATGAAATATAAAATTAATTATTTTATTATTAAATATAAAATTATTTATTTATTTTATTATTAAATATAAATAAATAACTTATTTAATTAATAAATATTATTTATTATTTCTAATTATTAAATTAATAAATAATATACTACATATTTTTAATTATTAAATATTAATATAGTTAAACTTAATCGATATGAATTTATTACTATCAATGAAAATTTATTGAAGAATATTATTTCGTTGATAAATCTGTAATTATTGACAGAAATTGATTAATGGATATTATTATATAGATAAATTTATATTACCGATATAAATTTATTATGAATAGTTAATAAATTTATATTACCGATGAAAAATTAAATTAATTATTTTATTATTAAATATTAAATTATTATTTATTTATTATTAAATATAAATAAATAACTTATTTAATTAATAAATATTATTTATTTATTATTTCTAATTATTAAATTAATAAATAATATACTACATATTTTTAATTATTAAATATTAATATAGTTAAACTTAATCGATATGAATTTATTACTGTCAATGAAAATTTACTGAAGAATATTATTTCGTTGATAAACCTGTAATTATTGACATAAATTTATTAATGGATATTATTATATAGGTAAATTTATATTACCGATAGAAATTTATTATGAATAGTTAATAAATTTATATTATCGATGAAAAATTAAATTAATTATTTTATTATTAAATTATTTATTTATTTTATTATTAAATATAAATAAATAAATTATTTAATTAATAAATATTATTTATTTATTATTTCTAATTATTAAATTAATAAATAATATACTACATATTTTTAATTATTAAATATTAATATAGTTAAACTTAATCGATATGTTTTGGCTGATATTTTTATTTTAAAATAAATAGTTTTTATTTATTTTATTTAAAAAATATCATGAACTTTTAAATAATTATATTCCTAAAATGTTTTTATTTAAAAAATTGATAAAATATATTTATCATAAGAAATTAAAAAATATATATATTTTAATTACTTATTTAAGTTATATTTCATGATTTATTTTTTATATTTTATTACAAATAATAATATTATTAATATTAATTATTTTTAAAATATTTACAAATTTCTCTTATTCCTTTATAAAATATTAATTTATTCAAATAAAAATTATTTTAATAATTAATTTCTTTTAACTCCTCATTACTAAAATACTATCATAACTAAATAAATCATGATAAATATTTAATTAATTTAATTGTAGGTTTTTTTTACATAGTTAAATTAAAAAAAAAAAACAACTTATACAATTTTTTTTACACAATTAATTCAGTTTTTAGTTTTAATAAATTATTTACTTGCTTCAATTTCATTTTCAATAATGAATTTACTTAATTTTTTTAATAAATCATTAACTTAATTTAATTTTAAATTTAATAATTTATTAACTTAAATATTATATTTTGACTACATTCACTTGAGAAATTAATTCTACCAACACCCTAGCCCAAATTACTTAAAGAGGCTCATTCATTCTACGATCTTTCCTCTCACCTATAATTATTATGGATGACAATTAAACTCTTCTGGGAACCCATCCTAAGTTTGAGAAGGAAAATTTGAGTTAACTAGAGGCAGGGGCATGTTTGGTTTTTCCCGCTTTAAAAAGTCGGGGTGGGGACTGGGATGGGTAATGCAATCTCCACCCGGATCCTCGTCCCTACCCTAACTTTATATTTAAATTTATATTTAAAAATATTAATATTTTAAAATTATTTCTTTTTCATGTAATCATTTTTTTATATTTCACTATTTTTATTTTTCTTCTACCCATTTTTTAATTTTTTTTTCTTTTTTGATCTTTTATATCAATTAATTTATTACATTATTCTTTCTTACCTTTCATTTTTTTTATATTTTCTTAATCTCTCCCATCAATTTGTTTTTTTTTAAATCTTTTTAACCAATTTGATGAACACAAAGTTAATTTTTTTTATTCTGTATTTTTTTCTAAATATTTTACATAAATCTTAGCAATAATTAATATTATTTTATTTATAATTTATATTTATTAATTTTTATTCATAAATTTATAATATTTATAATTTATAATTTTTTTATTATTTATAATATTATTTTTTATCTTCTTTTCCAACATTTCTCTTCCTAGACTCCAATGTCGTCTCTCTTCTCCATTGTCTTCTTCTTCATCTTCTAGTAGTTCATTTCCCTTTCTTTACACATGCAGAAATCCTAAATCCTAGTTTCTCACTAGGTTTTTCCCCAATTTTCAGGAATCCTAATTTCACTCCCCGTTGTAGGGTTATAGCCCAAAAATGGAGGTGAGTATTTTTAGTAATGGAGGAACTAGCAAACTGAGGTGAGATGTGATTGATTCCTTGGCTGATGCAATTTTCAGTGGAACATGACGGATTGTTACCTCACCCCTTGATGTTATTATGATTCGATTCTATATACGTTGTCTGTGTCATGTTTTTGGTTTGAATCTTTTTAAATTGTGGTGTTATTCATGTTCAAATTCAAAATAACACGTTCAATTGGGTAGTCCCATACAATACTGTCCCTCTCCCCAAACCCTTGCTCCCAACAACTCTTTACAAACGATATCCAAGAAAACCTCCAAACCCTAACGGAATCTTGTTCCTTCCATAACTCATATACTCCATGTTGGTGTGGTTTCTACCATTCAGAAGAATATAGTCATGAAAACTTTAATTAGTAAATACAAACCACTACTAGAAAAATAGTTAATAGTGACCGAAATTAATGATCGAAAAATTCGAGTTATTAACTGAATCAATGACTAATTTCTCCTTTTATATTTAAGTAATCGATTTAGTGATTAAAATTTCAGATTACTAAACAAATAATTTATAAATTGAAGACTATTTTTCATTTATATAAATATTTTTTAAAATATTTTAATAATATATTAAATATAAATCTACTTAATAATTTAAAATAATTGATAAAAAATTTAATAATATTATAAAAATGTAAAAAAATAGTTTACTAAATAAATAATTTAGTAATATAATTATTTGATTTTATTTTTTAATTTAGTATGTGAATAAAAAAATTAAAATTGATTATTAAATTAGTGATCGAATCGATCATTGATTCAATCATCTGAATCAATCATTAAATTAATTATTAATTTAGTCTCTTTTATATATTTAATCTTCGATCACTTATTTGGTCACCACTTGAATCAATCATTAAATTAATTATTAATTTAGTCTCTTTTATATATATAATCAATTATTAAATTAATTATTAATTTAGTTTATTTTATCGAACCATTTTATTTTATTTGATTTATTATAGTAAAAATCATAAAAATAAATGTTAAAATTTATTATACATAATTGAATTAAATTTATTATTCCTCATATATTATTATACATTATTAGCATAATTTTAATTTAATTAAAAATTAGAGTACAAATATATTATATTATATTATATTATACTAATATATTAATATATTATATAATATTTGTAATATATTTTGATTGTGTATAAATTAGAAAACTAAAAAATTTGAATGATATTTTTTTAACTTATATATTACAAAATATAACAAAAGGTCTCCAATACACGCTCAAAGGCTCTCAAACTCTGACCCTCACTCTCTCCCCCTGGACCTTCACTCACAAATTAGGGCACTATCCACCTCCCGCACAGGCTGCTCCCTCAGTTTCATCCTCATTTTCACACACGGACACCTAGAGGACCTTCACCCAGGCGACACCTTCTCCTCCAGCTATCCCCTCACACTCTCAGCCCCTTGGCACCCCCTCCACTCACACACGCTTCACATTCATTCCTGTACCCTAGCCCCTCCACGCTTCACGCTCACGCTCACCCTCGACCTCCATCTCTTTTTCCCATTTCCCCATCATCCCTGCCTCACCAAGTCATAGCCGCGACCTAGGTAGCCACCACGAAACCATCCGCTGCTCCCCCCACCGTAACCTTTAGCCACCTAGCCGCGCCAACCACAAAGACCCAACCTCTACTATCATAAATCTAGCCCCCGCTCCTCTGTCTCACCCTGTTTTCGGCCAAACCTCACTCCCGCAAGCCCTTGCGGTCCCTGTAGACCTCCGCGCCAACCACCGTGCTCTCCGCAAACCACCCCCAATCGCCCTCACCGAAGCCACCTAAACCATACGGTCAAGCTCACGCCACCACGACATCGCGGCCGCAACCTTCCCCACAATTCCATCATCACCACGCCACCGTGAACCAAGCCCTAGCTCACTCCCCTCATCGTGAGTTTGATTTTGTTGAATGATTTAAATGTAGTTTTTAAAGCAAAATGTGAGGAGGAGTTTTGATTTTAGGGTCACCCGATGTACGTTTTATAAGTGATGGTTTAGTGGAACAGAGGAAATTTGGGGTAAAATGGGGTATAAACCCAATGGTTATAACTTGTGTATTAATGGCAACTTTTTGTGAGGATGGGAAAGACAACCTAGTTTTTGAAAGAGCTGAGAAATCAGGAAATTGACCATGATGTAGCTTGTTAGAACTGAGATAACCAATCAGTGGCTATAATCTCTTATTAGGGTGGTTGTTACTTATAAAATTTAAAGCATGAAACTTCATCACCATTAATTATGCATAGATAATTATATAGTGTATCATGTGTAGATTAAAATTGTCAATATTTATTTATTAACAATTTTACTATTAATTTGAATAAAAAGTAAACAATTTTATTATTAACAATTCTAAAGAACTTTGATTAAATCTTTTTATTAATAATAAGACCAACCTAAATATAAATAATAAAATAAAAATTAACTAAGTCTTAAACATAAATATCGACCTATGTAAGAATTAAATTATAGATTTTGACAATATAGATTAATTTAAAATATAAGTGAAATAAACATAAATTAGATAAGATTATTTTGCTTGTATATGCGTCTGTTTTTTTACATATCAAATTATTATACTTGGCGTAATAATTAGTTTTATTAATGTGAGTTACATTTAAAAGTATATATATTGAAAATTATTTTTATATTTATTTAAAATGAAATAAAATTATTGATTGATCTCACCTGAAATAAAATTAATTTAAATTTATAATTCTATTTATAATACATACTCATGAAACGAATAAAAATTTACCAGACAAATAATTACTTTGCAAATCCAATCAAATTAATCATTTGGAAAAGAATATTTCCTAGTTAAAAATACATCATCACATAAGTTTATAAAAAAGTATGAAATGTAAGAAAAAATAAGTATATATATGCATCAACAATAAGTAAGTAATTAAGTTATTAGTCGTATATATTTAATTGCAAGGCTTGAAATTTATGTTCCATACAGATTTTAATGATCTTCATCTTTTATTATGATTATTTATGGAACTGATTATTTATACACTTTCTAATTATTATCCCTTTTTTATTTGTACAGTTGTCCATTCAGTAATGTGTTGTTAAGTTCTTCATACGCATCTACTTCCACCATCTTAGGTTTCCAAATGTCAATATCTTCAGTATCATGGACAGTTTTAGTGGCAGAGGTATAATTTCTAGCAAGACCTATAAATTTTGTATTAGAGGTTTTATTAAAATGTAATTATATTGTGGATAATTATATGGTATATTATTTATTAAAATAAGTCATTTATCGACATATAGCAGAACATGGATGTTCGTGAAAATCATATTTGGATGTATAATAGACTTGTACCTGGTCGAAAAGGGTATACTAATGCATTTTTAAATGGTGTGACTCAATTTGTGTCATTTTCTCTTCAACATGCAAACATGTCAAATGGAAAAATTAGATGTCCATGTAGTAAATGCAAAAATAAGAACTTTTTAGATTTTGAAGATATTCAAGTCCATCTTTATCGTCGGGGATTTACACCTGCATATTGGTATTGGACATGTCATGGAGAAATGGATCCAAATATGTGTGATTTGAATAATATGTATCCAAATTCATCTAATAATGCACACGAGATTGATAGAGAATACTTTGACAACATGATTCATGATGCCTTAGGTTCAAAGTTTGTGAGTCATTTTGATGAAGAAAATGAGCAGTTTCCAAATACTGAAGCAAAGAAGTTTTATGATTTATTATATGTTTCACAAAAACCATTGTGGCCAGGATGTACTAATCACACTGAATTATCTGTTACTGTTAGATTGTTGACAATTAAATCAGAGGGAAATATGTCACAACGATGTTTGAATCAAACATTGGCTCTTTTGAAAGAGACACATCCTGCTGATAATTTTATCCCAGAAGATTACTATAGAACCTTAAAATTGGTTTCAAAACTTGGTTTATCAGTAGAAAATTTTGATTGTTGTGTTAATGGGTGTATTTTGTTCTACTTAGATGAAGATCAACAACTATCTACATGCAATTTTTGTCAAAAACCTCGTTATAAGACAAAAAAAGTGGGTAGAGGTAAATATAAAAATGTCCTTGTGAAGAGAATGCACTATTTACCCCAATTCCTAGGCTTAAGAGATTATATGCTTCAATGAGTTCTGCTCCGCATATGAGTTGGCATTGTGAAAGTAAGAGAAAGGAGGGACATTTTTGTCATCCATCATATGGAGAAGAATGAAAACATTTTGACAAGACATTTCCTGATTTTGCAATTGAACCAAGAAATGTAAGATTAGAATTATGTGTTGATGGTTTCACCCCATATGGTCAATTAGGAAAACCATATTCTTGTTGGCCAATGATTTTAACTCCTTACAATTTACCACCACAATTATGCATGACTACCCCCTATATGTTTTTAACTTTAATTATTCCTGGGCCAAAAAATCCAAAGGAAAAAATAGATGTATATTTGCAACCTTTGATAGAAGAGTTAAAAAATCCAAATCGAGCTTCTGATTGTGGTGGACTTGGAATGTCACTCCATACTGCTGGCTCCATTATCACTTCTCAACATAGAGAAAATTTAGTAAACTTTGCTTTATACTGATTTATGCATGTATTGGTCCTATGCCAGAGGATGAGTCTGATGTTTCATCTGTTTGTGTATCACCCTTGAATCCAATCTTCGTAGCATCAGTGTTCTCCTTCACATAATAAATATTTTGAGTATCTTTTGTTTCACTCATTTTAGTGTTAATGTTGTGTGTTTCATTTGATGCCACATATTTTGTTTTCTTTTCTAATTCACCACCCTTTGTTGAACCTACAAAGATATGAAGCTTGAAGATTTTAATGATGATTCAAGAACAGAGGACTTAAAGACTTGAAGACTTATAATTATCTGTATTTACTTGTAATAACTCTATTTTATCTTTTTGAGTCTGTAAAATTAGAGTCCAAGATAGCCAACACGTAGTCCATCCTCTGAAAATTCATTTTTATCAAAACCACTCTGTAATAATCGATTATCACTCAGGATAATCGATTATCTTGCTTTGAAACTTGTTTTCTGAAAACCTTGCTGGAATAATCGATTATCTGGGTTGATAATCGATTATCCTAGTTTGAAAGTTCTGGAATAATCGATTATCAAGCTAGATAATCGATTATCCTGGTCTTGTTTTACTCTTCTACGAAAATGGCTCTATAATAATTGATTATCACTTAAGATAATCGATTATTTACGTCAGTTATGAGTTTTGAATTTCAAATTTGGACCAATTTACAAAATCCTTATTCCTAATTCTTCTGTTTTCAAAATCTTCTATTCCCTAGACCCCAATCTCTTTACTTAAGGTTCTCTAAGGCTCTCTGCAAAATAAAAAACATTTTTCATACAAAAGTTAAGAGTTGTGATTGCTAGAGAACTTTCTGTAGGGAAGAAAAAGGGGCTTTTGAAAACCTAGTGTGGGCTAGAAATGATAAGAATAACTGAGTGGGGTTCTTGGTGGATTGTGTGTTGTGTCGTCTCTAGGAAAAGTTGTTGTTCATCCTTTGTGGATTCAAAAGAGGTGTTCATCTCTTGTGTGACTCAAGAGAGGTGTTTTCTAATCTTTATCTTTTTCAATTTATAATCTATTGTAAACTGTGATTATAGTGACAACGTTAATCCTCTTTTAGAGTGATTAACAACTGGACGTAGGGTCTTTTGATATGAACCAATATAAATCAACTGTGTAATCTTCTTTCCCTTATCTCTTTACTTTACAAGCATTTTAATCGGGGAAATTTGGGGAAAATTTTTAAAACCCTAATTTGTAGAAGAAACCAATTCACCCCCCTCTTGGATTTTTTTTCCCTTAACGCGAACATTCCGTTGCGGGATTCTAACAAGTGGTATCAGAGTTTGCTTTGATAGTCATTCAAATTTCGAAAATGGCCGGAAAAAACCAAACCTTTGCCGAGGGTGCTTCTATCAACAGACCCCCACTTTTTGTGGGGCAAAATTATCCTTTTTGAAAAGTTAGAATGCAAATATTTTTGGAGTCTGTTATAGGGGTGTATGGGATGCCATTGTAAATGGTCCCTTTATTCCCAAAGTTACTGTAAACGATGTAAAAGAACTTAAACCATTTTCTAGATGGACTGCAGAAGAAAACAGAAAAGCTCAATATGATGTTAGGGCTAGGAATATAATTTCATCTGCTTTAACTCTTGATGAAATTTATAGAATTTCAGTCTGCAAGAGTGCTCAAGAAATGTGAGAAATGTTAAGAGTAACCCATAAAGTTACCGATGATGTTAAAAGAGCAAGGAAAAATTCCTTGATTTAAGAATATGAGATGTTCCGAATGCAACAAGGAGAAACAATCTTTGATGTTCAAAAGCGTTTTACTCGTATTGTCAAACATCTCACTAGGCTAGGTAAGATTTTTTATACTGACGAATTAAATGTGAAAATTCTTAAATCTTTGGACAAGAAATCATAACCAAAGGTGTACCATCATGGAGTCACAAAATCTTGCTACTATGACTATGACGCCTCTTTTTGGAAAGTTGCGAGAGCATGAACTAGAACTTGGAAGACTAAATGATGAAGAATGCCAAAATGTCAAAAGAAACATTGTCTTCAAAATCGAGATTTCAAAAAGTAAGAACAAGAAGGAGGAAGAAGACTCTAAAAATGAAGAAGATGAAAACTTGAGTCTTATGATAAAAAAATTTACAAAGTTCATGAAAGTTAAAGGGAAGCAACCTTTCAAAGGTAAGGGAAAGGTAAAAGAAAGTTC